CCCAAGCCGCTAGGCGGTAGCAAAAATTAACGACTTTAGACTTTCCTTGGGGAAGTGGCTTTCCGGATAGAGCGCGCACGAAGAACTGAGAGGGTAGTTGGCGGGTGGTTCGGCTCGTTGCTGGAGAGCCCTTTGTGATTGATGGCGAAGCGCCTGTGAGCTTGACGAAGCTTCGCGATTGCGACGAGGATAGTGGGTGAGGAGTGATAGGCGGTTTGAAGCATCGAGGGCTGGTAATGGCTCTGTTTTGACCGGCGCGAGCCAGTCGCGCGGCCATCATGGAAGAGACGGGCATTATTTTGCGGAATTGGAGGGATGTTCGACGTCAATCAATGATAAGCCAACGAGGTCAAAGAAAACGTTTAGTGCTTTCTAGATCATGACACGAGCAGAAGCACAGAATGTTAGTGAGAGAACACTCAATGGATGATGCAAGACGAGAACAAGAATGAAGCAGAGAAAAAAGAGTCTTCTAGTTTCGGTTATATTGTGTAATGCATGCTTCTAAAAAAGGATCTTCCCGTTTACGGAGCTCAATCAGGGATGAACTGCGCTGCAAGATAGGACATGTGGTTGCAGCTGAGACTTCCAGAGGCGCTACCTACAGCACGGTACACCTACGTCATTCATTACCAGAGCTCTCTCTCCCCTCCATCACCACCAATTTCTTGGCGATCCATGACAACCGAAGATCGGCGACTCCACTGCCGTACAGCATATCATATCGCACTTCAAACATCAATATCTCATTTTCCATCGTCATTGAATCATAGGCCATACGTAGACAAACCCGCGTAGTATTCATTCGAAGCCATATCGACCCCTCGAATACGTCGGCCGCCATGCCATGACTTTAGCTAGTTTGCGTCAAATATCACACAGTGGCTCCTCTTTTTTCCAAGTACGTACGTATCCTGTTGGTTTCGGACGTCCCGTTTCGTGGATCCTCGCCGTGGATCAGTTACGTTACAGATGCTGATGAGATGCCAATTGTGGTGGATCTCAAGATTGTGAAGAGCTGACGCAGCAACCGAACGCAGCGCTCTTCGTATTTGCTTCCTTTACGGATATAATTACCGGACATTCCGATAATCCTTATCGTCAATCTTGATTTGGCTACCACTATGACTGCGTTGTTTCCAAGCTTCCGCCTTTATATATCATGACAGACGTATACTATATATAAAACTGGTCCATCAGCAGCGGAAATACCTCTTCTCGACCCATCGTTCTTGTTGGTAGTCGAGCATGTTGCAAACCACGACTGTAATCTCTGGGAAAACGGATGTCAACCTGTGAAGCCCAACCTTGCCGGCCGAGTATGTTGCTAGGACAATACGGTCCTGTTTCACACCGTGATCGACCAGGACTTGCACCGCCATCAACGCTGCACCTCCAGTAGCCATCTGGGTGTCTAGAAGTAGGACGCTTTCTTGGTCTGCAATATCGTCAGGTAGTCGCAAGTAATGAAGTTCCGGCTCTCCCGTGGAATAGTCGGATTGGATAAGAAGACGGCCCGTCCGGCAATCGGGAATAGTCTTTCGAAGCGCCGGCTCAAATGCCGATCCTCCTCGGAGTACGATAACGGCGCAGACCTCACCCGTTGATACAAGACCCTTGTATTCGTATCCTTGGGGTGTTACAATATTTTTAGCCTCGAAATGGGCATTGTTTAGGGCCCTACGAAGTGTTAGCGAATAAACAGTCTTTCATACTCACAGCTGCTCAGTTCTCTTACTGTTCAATAATCAGACTTGCAAGCCTGTCAAAGTAGAAGATGAAATCCTCAGGGTCTGTGTCAATATCCTGAAGGATGGTGTTCATGAATTTGAGCTGTCGTGTATCATCCAAGACCACGACCCGTTCAGAAAGCGGCGAATCCTTACTTGCTGCTTCCAGAAGGGACAGTGCTTCTCGGTGATGTCTTGATTTCTCGAACAGCTTCTTCTCGACAAACTGAACCATCATTTCTACGAACATGAGCGTTTTAGTCTGGGTTTCAAGGCTTTGTGATTACTTACCAAGGGCAACTCTGTTCTCGATTCCTCGCGGTACGATCAAATCAGCAACCTTCCGTTGGGGTTCGACGAACTTGAAGTTTTCAATTAGCCTTCGTAAGAGATTTCCTGTTTCTGGAACGGGGGCCTTACCTTCTCAAAGTTTGGCTTGACAAATCCAAACCACTGCTTAATGATACCCTCGATATCTCGCCCACGCTCTCGGACATCACGGACAACTACACCAACATGGTCAGAAATCCTCACATAGGTCTTCGCAACGTTAAGACTTACTTCTCCTTGACAGGCAAGTATCTGCATCTGCCTCACAATAGATCTAAGTTCATTGTTAGGTCCAACCATACGCTTCAATGGGGCATCGGTTTCAACATACACCCATGTCAAGCAACTCAAGCACTCGAGGGTCATAAAGCGCAAAAATACCCTCTAATACGAGTACATGAGGCGAGTAGATGGATGTTGTATGGTCCAATCGAGAATGTTTGGCGAATGAATAAACAGGAATTTCGGCCCGCTTTCTATGAGTATGGTGAGACGTCAGTGAGGTGTAAATCCCAAGGCCATCGTCAACTACACATACCCGGCCTTGAGGTCCCGTAGCTTATCGACCAGAACATCGAAATCGATGGCCTATGAGAATAACATCAGTTGTTATTCTGGCAGTTCATACTATATCACATGAAGCATACGTCAGGCGAGTCAAAGTCATATTCGTTGGCGAAGGCCAATTTAGACTGCCCAGGTGTCAAGGTCTTATAAAAAGAGTCCTGTTATATATGAGCTTGTGTTCGAAGCATGGTTTCAGGGATTCATGCCATTGACAAAATAACGACCCAGGGTAGGTTCAACTTCTTGACAATAGCCTGGGACAAGGTCGATTTGCCTGAACCTGAGCTGCCCGCGACGCCGATAATGCTGACATCGGCCCAAGGAGGTGAATAGTAAGCTCGCTTCTGAACCGTGACATGACTCTCGAGCCCGCCATTGACTTCAGGGATTGCAGAGGCGGACATTGCGGTGGGCTAGTTCTCGATGAGGTCACCGTCACCTGAGATTTGGAGCGAAGAGGACGAGGATTGGATGAACGAAAGGCGAGAATATTTGGTAGCTGGAGAACTCAAACTTTCCTCTCCGAAAACTAGCCCTGCAATGTCCACGAGCTGTCCGAATATGGTGCCTTCAAAGTTTCGACTCGAGGGTTAGGCTTGTCCGTCGTTGGTGGAGCAGTGAGCACGGTCCTGTCGCGTGTGTGATCCACAGAGGGCCAAGAAGAAGCGGGACAGCAGTGAGAGCTTCAGTGAGGAGATGAGTTATTGCTAGCAGTTGTAGCTATAGGCTAGAGGAAAAGGCGAGAGTGATAGTAGATATATAGATACACTTTGGCGGTTGAGTTAGAAAGTAGAAGTGTAAGAAGATAAACCAGCTCAGCCCTGGCCCTGCCCAAGTTTTAAAGATCGATCTGACCTCGTCAGGGTTCTCCTCCTACCGTATCTGTATATCGAAAGACGGCGATGGCCGGAGGCGCATTGTATTCTCCGCACGATCAAAAGAGATAAGCTACTAGAATTAAGTCTAGCTCTGTTCTGCTGTAGGTATCACGCCTCTAGCTCGATCATGGTGACCTCTGTTGCATGTAATCTGTGGCTTGGCTCATGACACTCATCTCATGAGTTAGGGTACCGTGACCATCGTTGAAGCTTGGATTAGAGCTCAGGAGCTGTATTATACCCGAAGGAATATACCTGAAATATCGAACTGACACCTAAAATTGTGATTAGGGTCATATCATAGATGCTATTGCACAGCCCAGATCGATTAATCGAGAGCAATGGGATAGCCGCGGCATACAACGGAGCTCATTTTCAGGGGCCTTACCTTGATTTGGCGGGGCCGTCATCGATGGAGACCTGAGGCAGACAAGACAGAGCTCAGTGGAGCTTTTCGCTGATATGATTGGTTCTCAAGCCCAAGAATGAGGCTACGGGCTTTGGACCCACGAACACGGCGCTACTTTTCCTCCAGCCCCAATCATATTTTCTTCTCTTCCATCTTCCGTCAACCTCTTCTCTTTTTTCTTTTCTTCTTTCTTCTTTACATCGTTCGGAAAACACAGAAGGTTTCCTTACGAGTAGCATAGAGATCACGAGCCTGGATTGTGGCCTGATTCTCGATGCGCTGAATCGCCTACTTCCGGCTGTTGCTTCTATACCGTGCCGTCGATTAACCCTTCTCCGTTCAAGCTTCGACTCGCAGCGATATTCGTCCTGGGATAATTAGACAAAATGGTGAGCTTTGTTGTCGACAAGCCGAGCTTCAGCCCAAGCTTTGTATAGCTGGGTGCTGACTCGAGAATCAGACGTCATCTGCTTCTACAGCTACTCCCGTCAAGCATGCCTTTGACCGGCGTGTTCGCGATGTCAAGTCACCCAAAAGGTACGACCCTCCCCCCTCCAGCCATCTCGCCTACCTTGGTCAAGTGATGAACGCACTATCAATGGGAATCTCTCCTAGCATATAATGCGGAAACACGATATCAATCTTCTTTTTCTGAACCCACCATTCAATCCATTTCGTTGTACGCACTTTCATGTCAGCAGTTGCTAACGTCTTCAAAGTGATATCAACGCTTTAATACTGGACTATCTTACTATGGAAGGGTATCCGAATGCGGCAGCAAATTTTTCCAAGGAAGCCAATCTTGAACCTCATCAGGACACGCAGTACATTGTAGCGAGGCAGGAAATTCAGAACTGCATCCACAGTGGTGATATTAAGACGGCGATAACCACACTCAATGAGTTCGACCCACAGGTATGCACTTCCACTTCCTTGACCCCATTTTTATATGATTAGAACACGAGTTTTACATGCACCACTCATAGAGCCTTCGGGCCTTTGATGAGGAACAACCACTTTTTATGATTGTCTTTCTTTTCACATGTTCATTTCGCAGACTTTGGAATGTATCGTCGCTAACTCGACATGAAGATTCTAGATGGAGATAAGGCATTACATTTCACCTTGCTAAGGCTTCAACTCATTGAACTCATTCGCGCTTGTAATGCGACTGGAGATATTCAACCAGCCCTCACTTTCGCTACTGAGGAACTGGGCCCAAAAGCACCCACGAACCCCAAGTTTCTGGAAGACTTGGAGAGGACCATGGCACTGCTCTTGATTCCATCTGATGCGCGCGAGCCGCAGTTAGCAGCGCTGCTAGAACCAGAGTTACGACGGGAAGTTGCAGACAGCGTAAATCGGGCCATTCTTGAAAGACAATCCCGAAGACGTGAAGCAGCTATTCGCCAGCTCGTCAGAATGCGTGTCTGGGCCGAAAATACTGCCCGGGATAAGCGTAAAAACTTACCTGACCGACTGGATATTGGCTTGAACGGAGAAGAACCCGACAGTCCTAGACCTCACACCGGAAACGGCCATGACCCCATGATTACAACGTGACATTGATACCCGACCTGGAGGCATGTTCAAACAGTAGTAGTTCTGATTGTGTGGCGCCGTTTGTCTAAGTAGCGCTTGGCGTTTGGGATAAGATTGACATCCTTATGGTAAGGATTATGAATATGACACAGGCTGGCTGTCGGGCGTTCCGAAAAGGCTGTCATAAATAGGCTGTAGACCTTGACAATATCCCAGAGGCAAGGTTAATCATTCATTTATCATATTGCCAGTTCACGTGTGACATTGTCGAAAGGGTTTCTTATAGCTGAAAGTCGCTGAACTTGAACGAGTCTTTGGAAACATATTTACAAGGAGCCGGGCTGTCCAAGCCATCTATTTCGTCCTGATATGCTTAAGCTTTCTGGCAGAGTACAGGAAGTTGTTGGCATAAGCCTTAGGTGCAAACTTGCGAGAGTTTGGCTCCTGAACAAAGTACTCGTAGCCCTGCTTCTCAGCAAAGTGAATAGCATCCTCCTTGCTCGAGAAGTTGATGTGGGTGCCTTGCATAAAATCACCCGAAGATTGCCAACCGATCAAAGGGTTCTCCCATCGATGTCCCTTGGGTAGAATATCCCAATCCATTCGCCAGCGTCGACCGCGCCAGTCGCCGGACTGAGTCGCTGGCTTGGCTTCCTGGTAGATGCTGGAGTGACTGTTAGTTATTGAGGCTTTCGACGACATTCGAGTCATGTATGTGGGCAGACGAACCGAACTGTTCGGGCCTGGAGTTCCATGGGAGCGCCTGAGATCACCGCAGCGGGAAGGATCTCTTCACTGCCATTCTGGACGGATCGAGGGACAGGTGTATAGGTGCTGGCATTAAGTCAGCACTGTTATTCCATCTTTCTAGTTTTCAATCGAGTTTCGAGGAATCGTACGAGGTGGCCTTGTCAGCTTCGATATTGTAGTCGGGCTCGCTGGTAACAGGGCCAGTGATGGTGCCGCTGGCCTGGGTGACGTTGCTCTGGAATCGTCGGGGTGCGACGGAGAGGGCGACTCTGGGCGCAGCAGCGCTTCGCAGCATACGAGCCGCACTCTGGGATCGGAGGGCGGCCATGGTGCAAGGCGGTAGCTTTCAATTGGCGACAAGGGCGTGTCGTTTCTTGAGTGAGTGATGGTGGTCTGCGGCGATATTCTGAGGTTGAAGCAAGCTTGAACGGCGTGATCCTGATTGGGTGGAGCGGATCAGTTGTTTTGCCGAAGTCGCGGAAACGAGTGCTTTTCGGCAAGAACCTGAACCTGGGCGGGACTGCTCATCTCGACAGAACCTCAACTCCAACCCTTGCAATTGAGCGTCACGCAGACCCTCGACGGACCAATTCTCGAGATTCGAATACCCCGAACTACCGACATCATGAGCTTCGTCACCCGCCGAGCGCTCTCGACGCTCATCCCCCCCAAGGTGAGAGAGAGCCACTTCGGTCATGGGCGCAAATCCCCGGTGCTCCGATTGATTCCGTTACTAACACAAAGTTTTCAAAAATAGGTCGCTTCTCCTAAGGTACGCAGAATACGATGAAATTATTATCCTACGGAGCTTCGTTTTCGGTCTCGACGAGTTTTGGATGGATGAGGACTTTTATGGGCGATCGACATGGAGGGAAATTTCGTCATGATGGAGATTCAGAAGGCTGACAGAACTCGATGCACCACAGGCCATTGGCGCTGCTCCTGATGCTATCCGCATGCAGCGTGTCGTCAGCTTCTACGAGAAGCTCCCCCGAGGTGCCGCCCCCGAGGTCAAGGCTAAGGGTCTCCTCGGCCGATACCAGGCCAAGCACTTCGGCAAGAACCCTACTGGCAAGCGTACGGATAACCTCTCTCAAGATTGGATTTAAATGTTGGATTCTGACAATTTTGTTACAGCTATCATTCACCTGATTGTCTTCCTTGTCAGCATCGGTTACGTCCAGAACTACTACTTCCACCTTCGTACGTATCCCTATCACAGGGTTGAAGGGGATATGTTTGCTAATGCTGGGAACATTTAGGCCACCACAAGAACAACGCTCACTAAGCAGCTTAAGATGGCGTTTAGATACCGGAGATGGATCATTGTGTGAGAGGGAGCGGGGGTCGTGTACATATAAACTCCGGAAACTTCGCGGTCGAGCACGCGCCTTGGCTTCCCTATGTATCTCTAACAAGCAAGTGATGTGACAATGCCATCACGTTTTTGGTTATGCGCTGCTCTTTGGCTCTACGGAGTCCTGTGCCTTCGGAGCGGAAGCTTTCTGTGTATCCGTACCTCTTGTCAGAATTGTAAGCTTTTTGGGTGGTACTGCATTCTCAAGCTCTTCCGTATTCTGCACAATGAGACCGACCAATTTGAATTGCTAAATTTTGTACGTCAAGAATTCCTCTTGGCTTTGCTCCAGGTTGATCAAGTCTGCACAAGCTGCGGTACTGTAGTGTACAAACTAATCACTTCCAACAGATCATGTTATAGTGTTGACTCAGCACGTCATCGGAGTAAGCATAAACTCAGTCTTGACAAGGTATAATCGGCTAATTAAGTGAATGAGTTGGTATGGACAATGAAAGATACAACTTGTAAACTGCATTGTTTGCAGGATGTGAGGTGCCACCAAAGGAAGTCAATTAGGCACCTTAGGTTAGTCGTGTACGTACTACAGCCTGTGCAGAGGATGCTTGCTTGCCTTATTAACCTACCTATTTTCGCGCAAATGTAAATGTTGGATGACATTTAGTGATATTGAATGACTCTTATGAATAGTACCATCAGGTTCCTTGCATCCAAAATTAGATGAGATCAGATCCTTTCTGATCAGCTGAGTGGCCGGTAGAGTCATCCAGCTCCACGATGACAAGGCATTTGATGATACACCTAAGCTCCAGGGCGTACCGGCCTTGTAGTTGGCAGCTAGCAGCTGGAATTGGTCCCGGCAGCCCTGCCACTGGCAGTCAGGGGCCGGCTACGGATGGCCAATCCCAGCCCCTTATCGTTTGGCCGCTAAGCCTAGCCCAGCCTCCAGCATCACTTTCGGGTCTCTGAAAACTGGCGTCTGTCTGTCTGGCCTTCCACATCACAAACACCAGTGCATCAGCCGCAGTTACTCCGGGTTCATTGAAACCTCACCTTACACCTCGCAACTGACACGCCTTGCAGTTTGGTGATTTCTCCTCCTCATATCCCACCCCCGACCCTTGGATCGAGCATCGTATCAGATACCTCGCAATCGGACGAACGAAGATCGCCTTTCTATACCCAACACCCTCCGATCCCCACTACCGATACTCTTGCCCTCCCCGCCCCGCGGTGTCGCAACTGATCCGACTTCGAGATCCGACGTTTCGTCTGCCTTTAAACTCTAGTCCGACCAGAAATCGACGAGACCAGGCGGAGAAACCCAGCAGGAAGGCTTCTTTTGCTTCACACACGACCGGCGCATTCTTACCACGTATGATGGCAACAGAGGCTGCCGTTGATAAAGCTGCCGATGCCACTGCCTCTCAGTCTCAGCCTGTACGTTTCATCTTCCCTGCTTTGCGAGAGTAAATTCCAACTGTTTTGTTTTTGGCGAAATTGGCACACTGCCGCCTTCTTCGTTACCTGTTTGAACCTATTGCTTCCGTTAGCCGAGCTACTGTAGTTAGCCTTGCTAACAGACTTTCTCATGAACTTAGTCGCCCGACGCCGAAAATGTCGACTCCGTCCGCTCGAATTTGAATGGCAGTGCCGGCAACGACGACTACGAAAATAAGCACATTACAAACGTCGAAGATCAACTCACCTCCGCCGATGCTAGTGCCAGCGGAGGTTCAGATACAGAGGCATCACGCGCAGATATTTCAAAGACGAAAGATGGAGAGAAGGTTCATGGCCGCGCAGGCTCCACGGTCAAAAAGCCTGCCTTCAAGGCTGTCTCGGTCAATAAAACGTTTCTCGCATCAAAGGCGACTGCCAACAGTGCTGCGACCAAGGCCGCTGAGAAACAGCCTGCCGGTTCTAGTACGCCCCCGACGACATCGGCCACCTTATCCTCTTCAAGACCTCGTCTTATAGCAAAGACTGGTAGCAGCACTCGGGATTCATCGCCTCGGTTTTCTGGTGGTATGAATGGGGGAAAGCCTGGTAGTGCACCTGATGCAAATGCAGTTTGGAATAAAAACCGACGTATGTGCAACCTCCTGGATCAGCCGATTTGATGGACTAACAAAACTGTAGCTGTGCCGCCACCTGAACCCAAAAAATTTACCGATGAGGAGCTCAAGAAGTATGGAATCCATATGGCCAGTCGTTTGAATGAAGATGATGCACAGGGGCAGAACAAATGGGCAGACATCGACGACGACGATGAAGACTGGGCCCCTGAAGCTATTACTTGGGGAGATGGCACGAAGACGACGCTCCCCCACCCAGACGAGCATCCACCACCGCCATCAGACAGTGGTTCTGTTGCGTCTAAGGGCAAACCCCTTGATAAACCACGGTCTCCAGCTCCACCTGTTGCTGTGAGCTCCCCCCTGACGAAATCGAGTAATCTGGCCCAGGGCAAGGGTTTGATTTTGAAGAGTGGCTCCCAGGAAAAACCAACTCTTGTTGCCAAACCTCCAGCTCCCCCGGCACCTGTCAAGTCCCCGTGGGCGGCTCTGCCTCCGGTCGAGAAGGCTTCACCTATTCCAGAACAGGCCAGTCTTGCTAGACCGCCACATAATAAGGGCATGACTCCACCACCTCCAAAAGAATTTGCGGCGGATGATTTCAATCGTTGGAGAGACAGTTCATCTCACGGAGGCCGGGAATTGTTCAACTCCCATTCTGGCCGCTACGAACCAGTGCATGACAATCGACGTGGCTCGATGAGAATGGAACAGCATCCAAGGCATCACCCTTCCCTATTACAGCGACCACCCCAACCAGATTATCCAGCTGAACCCTCGGGTGCTTTCCAGACCAATAGAGTTTCTCAGGAACCTCCTTTCGCTAGAAGACGAGGATCATCTAATGTTAGTGGCGGAAGTGGCTCATTTATGCA